TGTCCCAGTACCGACGGAGCAAAGAGCGGGGCCGAGGTGAGCCCGGCAGGGCCCGGCCCAGTACACACCAGTTAAACCCAGTGGGCTCCCAGTACACACCAGTTAAACCCAGTGGGCTCCCAGTTACCCCCAGTGTGATCACAGTTACCCCCAATGTGATCCCAGTTACCCCCACTGTGCTCCCAGTACACACCAGTTAAACCCAGTGTGATCCCAGTACACACCAGTTACCCCCAGTGTGCTCCCAGTACACACCAGTTAAACCCAGTGTGATCCCGGTACACCCCAGTTACTCCCAGGGTGCTCCCAGTACACCCCAGTTACTCCCAGGGTGCTCCCAGTACACACCAGTTACTCCCAGTGTGATCCCAGTACACACCAGTTACCCCCACTGTGCTCCCAGTACACACCAGTTACACCCACTGTGCTCCCAATTACCCCCAGTGTGCTCCCAGTTACCCCCAGTGTGCTCCCAGTTACCCCTAGTGTGATCCCAGTCACTCTCAGTGTGATCCCAGTCCCTCCCAGTGCCCCCCAGTGCCTCCCAGTGTGATCCTAGTCCCTCCCAGTCCCTCCCAGTCCCTCCCAATCCCCCCCCAGTCCCTCCCAGTCCCTCCTAGTCCCCCCCAGTCCCCCCAGTTTGATTCCAGTGACTCCCAGTCCCTCCCAGTGGCTCCCAGTCCCCCCCAGTCCCTCCCAGTGCCCCCCAGTGACTCCCAGTTTGCCGCAGGGCTGCCCCGTGGCCGGGGGCGGGGTCCCCGCGGGAGAGGCCCCAAGGGGCCGGGAAGGGGCCGCGGGAGAGGCCGGAGCGGGATCGGGAAACCCGGGATCAACGACGACGACGACTACTACGACGAGGACATGGCGGTGAGGGCTCAGCCCACGGAATTCCCAGAGCAATTCCCGGGAATCCCCACCTGGGCAGCGGGAAAACACTCCTGGAATCCCCTTTTCCTGCCGGGATTGGGATTTTCCCCTCCCCTTTTCCCAATAGAATTCCCGGGAATCCTACTCTGGGCACCAGGAAAACCCTCCTGGAGTCCCCTTTTCCCACTGGGATCCAGATTTTCCCTCCCCTTTTCCTGACAGAATTCCCAGGAATCCCACCCTGGGCACCAGGAAAACACTCCCAGAATTCCCTTTTCCCACTGGGATTAGGATTTTTCCTCCCCTTTTCCTGACGGAATTCCCGGGAATCCCGACCTGGGCAGCGGGAAAACCCTCCTGGAATCCCATTTTCCCACTGGGATCCAGATTTTCCCTTCCCTTTTCCCAATAGAATTCCTGGGAATCCCGACCTGGGCAGCAGGAAAACCCTCCCAGAATTCCCCTTTCCCACTGGGATTGGGATTTTCCCCTCCCCTTTTCCTGACAGAATTCCCGGGAATCGCTCCCTGAGCAATGGGAAAATCCTCCCAGAGTCCCCTTTTCCTTCTGGGATCTGGATTTTCCCTCCCCTTGTCCCAACAGAATTCCCAGGAATCTTGCCCTGGGCACCAGGAAAACCCTCCCAGAGTCCCCTTTTCCCACTGGGATCCAGATTTTCCCTCCCCTTTTCCCGACAGGATTCCCGGGAATCCCACCCTGGGCAACAGGAAAACCTCCTGGAATCCCCTTTTCCCAGTGGGATTGGGATTTTCCTTCCCCTTTTCCCACTCCCGATCTTGGGGTTTCCTCTGAGATCCCAAAGAATTGTCCCCATTCCCACTGGGATGGGAGGTGTTTTCCTGCTTTTTCACCCCAAATCTCGGGATTTTGGGGCTCAGAACACCCCAAATCCCCTTTTTTCTCCCCAAATCCCAGGATTTGGGCTCAGCACATCCCTCTTTCCCTCTATTTCTCCCTCAAATCCCCTTTTTTCCCCCCCAAATCCTGGGATTTGGGCTCAGATGTTCCTCTTCCCTCCTTTTTTCCCCCTCTTTCCCCCCCAAATCTTGGAATTCTGGGCTCAGCCCACCCCAAATCCCCCTTTCCTCTCCCCAACCCTCCTCCTTCCTCCCAAATCCCAGAATTTTGGAGCTCAGCCCACCCCAAATCCCAGTTTTCCCCTCCAAATCCCAGAATTTCAGACTCCCCACATCCCTCTTTCCCTCTTTTCCCCTCCAACCTTTGGAATTCTGAGCTGAGCACTCCCCAAACCCCTCCTTGTTCCCCCCAAATCCCTCGGACGTGGCGGATTTTCCCCTTTTCTCCCGTGTTTCATTCCGGGGTTTCTCCTGGAATGCTGACGGGGGTTCCCTCGGGATTCTCCCGCTGCAGGAGGGTGGGAATTGTGGGAATTACCGACGGAACGACCACGACAAGTCCCACCTGCCCCAGGACAAGAAGGGGAAGGTCATCTGCAAGTACTTCGTGGAGGGACGGTGCACGTGGGTGAGGAGCAGCGGGAATGGGATCCCTTGGGAATGCCACGGGAATGGGATGGGAATGGGGCCGGGAATGGACCTGGGAATGAGGCTGGGATGGGGCTGGGGATCCCTTGGGAATGGGGCTGGGAATGGGGCTGGGGATCCCTCGGGAATGGACCTGGGAATGGGCCTGGGATGGGGCTGGGGATCCCTTGGGAATGAGTCTGGAAATGGGCCTGGGAATGGGTCTGGGGATCCCTTGGGAATGGACCTGGGAATACCTCGGGAATGTGGCCGGGAATGCCTTGGGAATGGCTCTGGGGATCCCTTGGGAATGGGCCCCGGGATCCCTTGGGAGGCACACCTGGGATTCCAGGGGGAGTTTGGAAATGGTGGGGTGGGAATTCTGGGATCCCACCTGTGTCCCACCTGTGTCCTGTATCTCACCTGTCCTCACCTGTGTCCTGTGTCCCACCTGTCCCCACCTGTATCCCACCTGTCCCAGGGTGACCCCGGCACCTCCAACCCCGACTTGTTCAAGGGATTCCGGGCGGGTTGGGAATTGCAGGGTGGGAATTCTGGGATCCCACCTGTGTCCCACCTGTGTCCCACCTGTCCCCCCTGTGTCCTGTGTCCCACCTGTGTCCCACCTGTGTCCTGTGTCCCACCTGTCCCACCTGTGTCCCACCTGTGTCCTGTGTTCCCCCTGTATCCCACCTGTCCCAGGGTGACCCCGGCACCTCCAACCCCAACTTGTTCAAGGGATTCCGGGCGGGTTGGGAATTGCAGGGGGGGAATTCTGGGATCCCACCTGTCCCACCTGTGTCCCACCTGTCCCACCTGTGTCCCCCCCCATCCCAGGGTGACCACTGTAACTTCAGCCACGACATCGAGCTGCCCAAGAAGCGGGAGCTGTGCAAGTTCTACATCACCGGGTACTGCGCCCGCGCCGAGAGCTGCCCCTACATGCACGATATCCTTGGCCAAAAACCCCCCAAAAACACCCCCAGAACGGGCCAGAAATCAGCCTGAAATCAGCCAAAAATCAGGCAAAAACTGGCTAAAAATTGACCTAAAATTGGCTTGAAATTGGCCCAAATTCAGCCTGAAATTGGCCCAAACTTGGCTAAAATTCGTCTAAAATCAGCCTAAAATTGGTCTAAAATCAGCCTAAATTTAGCCTAAAATGAGCCTAAAATTGGTCTAAAATTGGCCTAAGATCAGCCTAAAACTGAGCTAAAATTATTCTAAAATTTGGCTAAAATCAGCCTAAAATTGGCCTAAAATTAATCTAAAGTTGATCTAAAATCAGTCTAAAATTGGTCTAAAATCAGCCTAAGTTAGGCTAGAATCAACCTAAAATTACTCTGAAACCAACCTGAAATTGGTCTAAAATCAGCCTGAAATTGGCCTAAAATCAGCCTAAATTTGCCCTAAAATCAGCCTAAAATCAACCTAAAATTAGGCTAGAATGAACCTAAAATTATTCTGAAATCAGCCTAAAATTGACCTGAAATCAGCCTAAATTTGGCCTAAAATCAGCCTAAATTTGACCTTAAATGAGCCTAAAATTGGTCTAAAATCAGCCTAAATTTGGCCTAAAATCAGCCGAAAATTGGCCTAAAATCAGCCTAAAATCAACCTAAAATTAGGCTAGAATGAACCTAAAATTACTCTGAAACCAGCCTGAAATGGTCTAAAATCAACCTGAAATTGGCCTAAAATTAGCCTAAATTTGCCCTAAAATCAGCCTAAAATCAACCTAAAATTGGCCTAAAATCAGCCTAAAATCAGCCTAAAATTAGACTAAAATGAACCTAAAATTACTCTGAAATCAGCCTAAATTTAGCCTAAAATGAGCCTAAAATTGGCCTAAAGTCAGCCTAAATTTGGCCTAAAATCAGCCTAAAATTGGTCTAAAATCAGCCTAAAATTGGCCTAAAATGAACCTAAAATTGGCCTAAAATCAGCCTAAAATTGGGCTAAAATCAGCCTAAAATTGGCCTAAAATCAGCCTAAAATTGGGCTAAAAGTAGCCTAAAATTGGCCTAAACTGAGCCTAAATTTGCCCTAAAATCAGCCTAAATTTGGCCTAAAATCAACCTAAATTTGGTCTTAAATGAGCCTAAAATTGGCCTAAAATCAGTCTAAATTTGGCCTAAAATCAACCTAAAATTGGCCTAAAATCAGCCTAAAATCAGCCTAAAATTGGCCTAAAATCAGCCTAAAATCAACCTAAAATTGGCCTAAAATCAGCCTAAAATCAGCCTAAAATCAGCCTAAAATTGGCCTAAAATCAGCCTAAATTTGGCCTAAAATCAGCCTAAATTTGGCCTTAAATGAGCCTAAAATTACCCTGAAATCAGCCTAAATTTGGTCTAAAATCAGCCTAAAATTGTGCTGAAATGTCCGTAACCTGATCGTGGGTGGTCCCTTTTCCCCGGGGTGGCCGGGTGGGCTCCCGCTGGGCTCGGGGCGTTCCCGGTGCCGCCGTTCCCGTTTTCCCTTGACTGTGCCACGGGATTTCCCGTGCAAGCTCTTCCACACCACCGGGCTCTGCATCAACGGCGACGACTGCATGTTCTCCCACGCCCCCCTCAGCGACGACACCCGCGACCTGCTCGACAAGGTACCTGCACGCAGCACACCTGGGACCCCAAAAACACACCTGGGCACCCCCAAAATCCCACATGGACACCCCAAAAACACAACTGGGGACCCCCAAAGCACACCTGGGACCCCAAAAACACACCTGGGGACCACGCAGCACACCTGGGACCCCAAAAACACACCTGGGCACCCCCAAAATCCCACATGGACACCCCCAAATCACACCTGGGGACCCCCAAAGCACACCTGGGACCCCAAAAACACACCTGGGACCCCAAAAACACACCTGGGGACCACAAAACACACCTGGGAC